CCGTTCAAGCCATGGACGGCAACAATGCTGGATACTGTCAGTACGGACTCTTGTGATGTTATGGATGGCTTACTCCACTACCGGCTGCTCTCCCTCTACCACGATCTTGAGGCCATATGCAGATGCCTTGGACGGTTCTTGCGGCTTTGATAAGCTGTCAGCCTGCTACAGCGTCAGCCTGACAGAGGTAGAATATTAGGTCGATAAGTACAGGGTCCTGACGATCCTTCCGGAATGGGTTCAGTCGCTGCCATCTAAAGGTCGCCATGGTTCAAGTGCAGGATTCAACAATCTCCCCTATGCTGGAGATTCATGAGAGTTGCTAGGTTCCATTGTGCTAGGCACCTGTATTGACGCTGCCAGCTCAGCTGTGCCCGCCGTGCCGCATATCTGTTTGGAATCACGCGGCGTCGCCAATCATGGCGCAGCCACGTCAGCGCTGCGTGGGGGCGGACGCTTTCGTCCCGATTTGCGGAGTCTTCTTTTATGGCGTAACCGAATTCCATCGCCACAGCACTACTATCGAGCTCCCATTACTCCTGATGCTTATAAAAGGGCTTTATCCGAGCCGGAAAACCTGAGAAGTCGTTATCAGCCTTGTGGCTGCTATCGCACGCAAATTCATGCAAGGTTGCCACCCTGGTCGGTACTTCTGATTGAAGCACTCGGTCCTGGCTAGTGCAATACGACCCGCGCGTCCCCACATGTACATAATCATCACAGGAAACTAACGTATTTCACGAGTAAGTGGGCCACCCGGGTGAGTGGGCCACCCGACCAAAAGTCGCGAGACACGACGCGTAATATAACTACAACCTTGATGATAACGCTATAACTAGCTATATTAAATATAGGTGTTTATTGTTAAGTAATTTACAGTATTCGGCGTTGTGGCTTAGTAGGGTGGCCCACTTACCCGGGTGGCCCACTTACTCGTGAAATACGTTACTTATGTCATCTGATAAGCTAAGTGTTACAAACCCTAACACGAACAACTCGAGCGCAGAGGCACTCGAGGAGACAAGCAAGCAGATAAGATTAATCACGCAGAACCAGGTCACGGGACCAAGGGGATCACGTGTAAGACGTATAGGGATCCTGGATTCCCCCACGGACTGCTGGTGGATGGGAACGATCTAAGAATAGAGCATCACGAGAAGGCGTCACGTGATGGCTCGAGAAGCTCGAGGCTGAGAGCCGGGCGAGCGCTCGAGGGGCTCGAGGCTGAGAGCCGTGCGAGATGCTCGAGGGGCTCGAGGCCGAGAGCCATATGAGCAAGAGGTTTCTTAGGACGGAGCTTTCGTATATAAGGACGCTCCTTTGCATAGATAGGAACCTCGTGTTCAACTTAAGACTTCAATACTACCTATTGGAAGTAACAACCCCGTCTTATACCTGAGATTGATCTTGCCTCACCTTTTGAAGACTATTGCACCCCGACGACGACTTGCCTATACCCTGCCTTAGTGTGTGACACTTGGAAGGTATAGAAGAGACGACCCGTTACACTAAGCTTGTGGCTATTAGGCTTATGGCTGTGCGGACGACTCTAGAGCAGTTAGCAATAACCAACACATTTCGAAGTGGCATCTTTATTCAAACTTTATCCTCTCATTCCTATACAACCTGCGCAACTCCTAGCAAAAGATTACCCGCAATAACACCGTCTTAGTACATGCGCGCCACTGGGGCCCTAAATGGCGCTTCTGGGACCTTCGCTGGCTCAACTTCACTCATCCGCGCCACTTTGTCCTTTGGCACCAATAAACCGGCCTCTAATTCTAGCGAACCCGCCTCTGCGTCTGCCTCCGGCACAGGATTCTTGCGCTTACGACCGCGCTTTCCCTTGCTTGCCTCTGCCTCTGCCTCCGGCGCAGGATTCTTGCGCAGACGACCGCGTTTTCCTTTTCCCTTGCCCTTAGCTGTGTCCTTTGCAGCACGGTTCGCTCGTGCCTCTTTAAGGTCCTTATAGCTCATTACCTTCGCCTTCCCTAGGATCAATGACTTGGTTGATCGGCGACGTTTGGCTTCTTTGTTGAGTTTGTATAAGAATCGATTCTGATCCTGAAGTAGGGTTTGTTTGGCAAAGGATATCTGAGCGGCACTGGCGAGCTTCTGTACATGCCTCTGTAGGCGCTGTTTGCTGCCTGGCTTATTAGCCTCCTGTTTGATCAGATTATGCAACGATGTAAGGGCCTGTGTTGTCACTGGAGTTGTAGGCGAGATAGGCGTTTGCAGTGCTTCGTCTTGCGGCCTTACCACCTTATTTGGAATGGTAAGTTCGGCGGGAGGCTTCGGTGTATGTCGGATTACTCTGTCGGGATTGAACGGAAATAAACCACTTGCAGCCCACCTAGCTATAATATTCCTCTTAGTAAACGCCTTTTCCCTTGCAGGCTTGTATAGAGAGGTAAAATGCTCCTTGCTAACTAAGTCTAAACCTCCTTAATACAGTTAATCAACCTTGTTACGATAGGCTGTTTTTAACGGCGAAAAGACTCCAATATTACAGGGCTGGAGCTTGTGAGACTAGGTAGTAGTATATATTAGCAGGTATTTACAAAGAGGGGTAAAGAGAGTCGCCGCAATGCCCGGGGACTTTGTGTTAGCTGGGAGGAGGGCGTAGGGATAGTAAAGCTAAGAGGGCTTAAAGGGGGGGTATAATAGATAATAGATCCTTGCTGTTTAATCACAACTTAGACCGGCGGTGCTAAACCCCTGGTGTATATGTATTACGACCTTACGTACCGTGTAAGAGAGGAGACAACACAGGATAATATTGTTTCTAAAGTAATACTCTAAGATCTCGAGCGTTTTATATGTCCTAAAGCCGTCGCAGATTAGTACCTATAGTTTCTAGTTAGTAAGTCCTTTAGTTTAGGGATTAAACACACGCGTAAGCTACTCTAAGTTAATTTTAGAGTCGTTATAGCTATTTTCTAAGTATCCGTAATACTATCTAGGGGTTAGGTATATAGTCTAGTTACTCCGGTGGGTTAAAGCTAGCTAGACTATAAAAGAGTATAGTAACCTACCGCTAGCACTTATACACTTAATAGCAGTTATTATTATCCGCTTAACACCCGCGCCTTTATAGTCTTACAGGTCGTTCTTACCTATAAGAACTTTAATAGAGCTAAGTATGCTTAATATAACCCCTGTCTCGTCTATATTATATATATTTTCCGGCAGAATAGCCGGATCCTTATTATTTTTTCTACTACCTCGAACTAGTTTGTAATCTTAAAGTATATGTTATTCTCGTAGCGTTTCCAGTCTATTAACTTAACTCTCCTCGCTTTAAGTTCGGGATTGCGTTTCTCGAAGGCTCGAGGCCAGTTCTTGCCTGGAGGCTTGTTCGTCCGCTGGCGGGCGAGGCTAAAGGCTAGAAGTGGCGACTGGCTCGTGCACGCTACTACCTTGTGCACGGTTTCTTAAAAACCCTAACAATATTGCTAAATTGTAACGCTCTAATAGAATTAGCTAGATTTTTACTATTATATACTACTATACTTAGTATTTAGGAATATAAAAAAATCACTAAAATATATCTATTATATATTAAGTTACTAAAGGTTAAATAAAAAGATTTCTAATATAAAAAAATCACTAAAATATATCTATTATATATTAAGTTACTAAAGGTTAAATAAAAAGATTTCTAATAAAATAACTTAAAACTTTTAGTATATAGTATAAATATACTATATTTATAAGTTATAGAAGCTTTTGCCTAAATTTAATAATAAAAGTTTAATATAATTAGTTTTAAAAAAGGCTATTATATAAAGTATAATATATTTATAAATATATAAGTAATTAAAGAAAATATAAGCTATAAACTATAAAATATAAGCTATAAACTATAAAATATAAGCTATATATACTATAAAAAGTATAATATAAGCTTATTTATAAGTATATTATATACTATTTAATAAAAATACTACTATATTAAAAAAAATATAAAAATAGTAAATTAAAGTATAACGTATTCCACCACTAAGCCGGCTAAACCACTAAGCCGGCTACTTTTCCTTGGCATAACCAACACTATATTTACACAGCAATATATTAACAACGCAGCGATTATCTATCTTAGTAAAAAGGCAGTATTAATCTCGCGCTTTAAGCCTTTACCTCTAGTTAATTTAGGACTATACAACGCGCTGCAGCAGCCTTTAACGTACGATATTAGCGGCTCTCTAATCGGCTCCACGGAATTATATTTCGACCTTAATTACAACTAAACTACCTAAAGCTTACTGCGACTGAAGAGTATATAATTATACGATATATTCTTAACCTAGACTCGCGAGGATTTGCGCCCCGGTTATATAAGGTGGCAGATATAGCAGATAAAGTACTAGCTGCGCATAGTAGGATACTAGTAGGTAAAAACTGGACTTAACAGTTTATATCTCGTATAAAGGAGCTTAAAATAGCTTTTAATTGGGTAAAGGACCGCTAGAAAATACTCTAGGAAAACCTAGAGGTTATTAACACGTGGTTTACTCTCGTGCAAGAGACTATAGCTAAGTATAGCGTCCACCCAGATAATATCTATAACTTTAACAAGACTGGCTTTTAAATAGGTATAATTAGTATAATAAAGGTTGTTACAGGTTTAGAGAGATATATAAGGCCTAATCTTATTTAACTAGGCAACCGAGAGTAGGTTACAGTTATCCAGAGCATCTGCGCTGCCGGATATATAACCCTACTATTTATTATCTATAAAGGACGCGTTTATATCTCTGTATAGTATAAAAAAGCAGAGATACTGTATAATTAGAAGCTCTCTGTCTTTAAGAACAGCTGGACCAATAATAAGCTTAGTCTTAAGTAGTTAAAGCACTTTAATATATATATAAAGGCGCGTTAGGTAGGGTTATATAGGTTGCTGATTTTGGACGGCTATAAGAGCCACCTTAACCAAGATTTTAAGGATTATTATATTAAACAACAAATCCTTACCCTCTATATACCTGCGCATTTATTATATATACTTTAGCTACTTAATATAGTATGCTTCTCGCTATTAAAGCTAAAGTACTCTTAACGTATATAAGACTTAGCATGCCGACACGTCTACTATATTAATAAAGAAGGCTTCCTACCAGCCTTTAAAAACGCGTTTTTCGACGTGTTTATATATAAGAACTGCAAGAAGGCCTTTAAGGCCTCTAGATTAGTTCCTATTAACGCGCAGGTAGTTCTTAATCGCCTTAATATACGGTTACGGACCCTACTACTAGCACCCCTACTAGAAATACTATAGTAATTAAAGACCCTAAGCAATATATATAAATTTGGATTATAGTTAAGGCTAGTAAGCAATTCCTTTATACAGTTACTAACAACCGCCTAAAAAGGCTTCTTAAAGCTTATTAAAGGAGCCGAAAAGATGCTATACAAAAATATGCTTATTAAAGCCCGGGTTAAAGAGCTTAAAAAGTAACTAGCAGAAATAACCAAGCGTAAAGGTCGTAAAAGAAAGCAAATCCAGACTGGCGGTACAATAGAGTATAGTACAGCAGCGTTATACGTAGCTGCTAAAGTGTTTAGAGCATCTAATCTACGGAAAAAGGTAGGTAGTAGAAATAGTATAAATAGGGCTCTACTAGCTTAACAGCGCTATAGAAACTATAGAGAGGCTAGGCATAATACGCGTACGTGTAAAAAGGATTAAGAAGCTTCTTCTAAATCTAATCTAAGTATATTGTATATAAGTTCTATAGCTGGTTGCGAATAAATTAACTGCGCGCATATAGTGTTGGTTATACCAAGGAAAAATGGCCGGCTTAGTGGTTTAGCCGGCTTAGTAGTAGAATACGTTAATATACTTATATTTTATATATTTTAGTAAAGGATATATTTAATAAAATATATAAAAGCTATTATATACTGTTTAATTTATTATATTAGCTATAAATAATAAAAAGTTATTATAGTTTAAAATTTTTTATATAAACTTACTTATATATATAATATTAAAGTAATTTTAAATAATAAAAGCTATATTTTTATTACTTAACTAAATATAAAGCTATTAAAGTATAATTTATTAATTATAACTATAAATATCTAGTACTTTAATTTAAGATATTTACTTAGCAAAAACTTTGTTCTTAATTATTATAATATTTATTAATAGAATTACTATATATACTATTTTATATAGTAGTTATATAGTAATACTTTTATAGAGCTTAATTATAGCTTTTATTTATTTATATTTAATAAAAATATATAGTTATTAAAGGATTTAAATCTATTAGTTTTAAGCCTAGTTACTCCAGAAATAATTAATATATTTAGTTAAAACCTCTTCTATAGTAATTCTAGTATATAATAATATATAAGTTTTAATTTATAGCTTATTATATAAAAGCGTTACTGTATAATCTAATTTTAATAGGTTGGAGAAAACGTGTATAAGGTAGTAGCGTGCACGAGCCGGTTGCTACTTCTAGCAAAGGCATATACTTTATTCGGACAGGGTGGCTAAGATTAGATATTAGTAATAAAAACGCAATAAAAGCTTTCTCTTCCTTTCTAGTAAGGTATTACTAGCCTTAGGCCTTTTCTTTTTTTAAGGGTCGTCCGTATGCGCGATAAATAAGCGTATTTTAAGGGATATTGCTATATTCTAATAGGGCAGTATATATTCTAAGTATATCTAAAGGAAGACCTTACGCTAGTACCTAGCTAGCTTAGTCTATATTCGATTATAGTAATAGAAGGCAAAAATAGGGGGTATAAATAAGAGAGGCTATAAATAGAAAAGGCTATAAAGAATAAGTGGCAATAATAGATATACACGCCGGGCTACTAAAAATAGCAAGCACGTAACCGTTTATAGACGTTTCTAGAAGAGCGCTATATATTAAATTAAGTTAGGTATAGCGTAAAATATAATATAATAAGCTAATACCGCGCTAAACGCTTATACTAAAATACGTTGCAGACCCCTTTACGCGGATAAATCCGGAATATATTCTTCTAAGGGCCTAGTACTCTTAAAATCTAAATATATCTTCTTTTATTAGGAAAATATCAATTTAAAGCTCCGAAGTTTAAAATTTTACAGACTATTATAGTGCAGCAGGAATATAAAGCTAATATAGTTCTAGATACTCTAAAAGGAATAATTGCTAGTATAATCGAAACGTTGTATTTTTTAGCTATATACTAATTTCCTAGGCAGAAATAGCTAAAGAACTATAATATACTAATTATAACTCGATAAAGTAGTAAGGGGGAGAGTAAAGTGCCTATATAATAAATCTAGTGCAGTATAGAGGGTAGTGCGCTACTTAGAGGGGGATATTACTATTATAAAAAGCCTATTTAGGCTTCTTTTCCTT